GTTCTTTGTTTCTGTGATAGATCACTGAGTATGAGTGACTCTAAATCCATCCAAGTTGCTGTGAAGTCTGTATGTTTGTCCTTCTTTATGGCTGCAAATTACTCCATTGTGTATATGTACCACATTTTTTTTATCCAGTCCAACTTCCATGGGCAGGATGTTTGGTTCCATGTTTTTGCTATTGTGAATAGAGCTGCGATTCTTATCTATCCAGTCTTTGAAGTGACTCACTCAAGTGGCTCTTCTAAGGTTCTTAGGCCTTCCTGGAGGCTGCCTGAAGAAATGCACATAAGTTGAGGTACTTTTAATCACATTTCTCAATCTTCCTTAAGATAGCAGAGTCACTAATGGTAGTAAACATCTGTCTGGGGACAGGGAGACACCTGTTATCAACAAGGGGGCCTGAATGAAGCATATTTGTATATCTAACCCTTAACTGTACCCCACAATATCATAATAAAAAATATAGACTTAAAAAAAAAAAGATAGCAGATTCGAAACTTAGGGGTAAGATTGGTGCTGAGTAGTCATGACCACCCCATACAGGCATTGGTGGCTGCTATAGTCTTTCTACAGACGACCCAAGAACGCTCTTCTGCGTTAAGCATAGGTCCAGAAATGCTGCTTTACTATCTCAAAGATTCTGGCTGAATCATCATCATCCTTTGTTCAAGAGAAAAGATGATTTTTATTATTTTCCAAAGTAGCGTGGAGTGGTGGGGGGTGGTTTGCACTCTCACACTTCCATTCCCTTACTTTATCAGGCAGCTCACCTCTTCCCTAGATGGGTTAAAATAAATAAGAATAAATAAAATTAAATGATATCAATGTCTGAACAGCTTTGAGAACAAAGTAAGAACAAGGAGCCTGTTCTTCCCAAGGGAATGGAACACCTCCCACTGTTGAAAAGAGAAGGTCTCAGCAGAAGTGCAGGCAATGCTCACTCTCTTTCAGTTAACCTTTTGCAAATATTTCACACAATTTTCTTTTGACACACCCGTGAAAAGCTCCCTCTTCTTTCTTCCCCCTCCCCACTTCCCACTATCAGCTGTCTTGAGCTCTGCTAATCACAAGGGTGAAGTTCAACTGGTGAAAACATGTTGCAGCATGAGGAATTTACCCTTTGACCCTGTCCTTTTCTTTGCCAGCTACACTAATATAAAATTTCCATTGTTGTAAAGCCAGCATCAGTGGCACCCACCCAGTACTTATGGCAAAAGAAAAAAAAGCCAAATTATCTTGGTGGAAAATGGCTCATCAGCAGCCTTTTGTGAAACTAATGAAGCCACAATTTCCCCATTTACGATAATCTGTCTTCACTTTCGGGATCACCCATGATATGTTGGACTTTAAGTGGTTTTCTGGTTTTGCCCTCACTTGGCAAGAAACTCTTGAAAACATTACTGCACATTGTGGATGGGCTCCAGCAGTCTAACCCATTCTTTTGATGTATCAGGGTGGCTTCTTTTTCTCCTGCAGAATACCCATTGAAAAAGATATATTTCTTGCATTTACTCTTGGACAAGTGGATAACTGACATTATACTCAACTGACTTTATATGTCTTACATTTAGGTAGCATTACTTTAAAAAAGATGGGGAAATAATCTACCTACAAGGAACTGTGTTTTTTTTGTTTGTTTGTTTTGCTTTGTTTTTTGAGAAGACAATCGTGACATACTCCTATGTTCTACTCTGATCCTATGATTAATCAAATTAAATGTACCTCTCCAAAGAGAACTCATTCTAACCACAAAATGTTAATGTTTCTATCCTTTACAAGTGAAGTCCAAATTGTTTTCCTTAATGTGGTTTCAAATACTTTTTCTGCAAAATATTTTTTGTTTCGTCTTAATCATGGAACATTAAGCTAAAGCATAAATGCATCTCTCTAAAAATCACCTCCTATATCCCACTAAGATAAAGACAAAAAAAAGTTGGTCTGGTCAGATTTTAAATAATTGTGAGATTCTAATTACACGAATAAAAAAGTAAAATAATAGGTATTCACCTGCAATAAGGAAAAATAGTGAGAAATAATTTCACTGAAGAATAGACTGTCCACTGAAATATCTTCCACCCAGCTACCTAATGGTTTTATTATTAAGAATGGGATAGAATTTTTTTTGTGTGTGTGAGTTGGAGTTTCACACCATCACCCAGGCTGGAGTGCAGTGGCACACTCACATCCACCCCAGTGTTGACCTGTTGGGCTCAGCCTCCCAAGTAGCTGGAACTACAGGTGCGTGCTACTATGCCTGGCTAATTTTTTGATTTATTGTAGAAATGAGGTCTCGCCAAGTTGCCCAGGCTGTTCTCGAACCTGTGGGCTCAGGCAATCCCCTCACCTCGGCCTCCCAAAGTGATAGATTTCAATACTGATAACTATTCTTTAATCTAAAAGAAATTTATTATTGAACTGATTGCTCACAATTATTACTAATGGATTTTACTGCATACTCAAAAATTGTGCAAAAACATACCCTTTGCATGGTATAAACCAATGATTATCTCTGAAGAGTGCTCTGAAGCATTCATATTAATGCCTATTAATCATATACATAACTGTAGTCATGACTACATCTTGCTTTTCTAGAATTTCTTATTTTTTTAGATCACTAAATAAAACCGAGGTTGCCAGATGAACAAGCACATGTACAGTAATCTCCCTTATCCACAGAGGATATGTTCCAAGACCCCAAGTGAATGCCTGAAACCACAGATAGTACTATATATGCTATATTTTTTTCCTATGCACACATACCTATAGTAAAGTTTAATTTATAAATTAGGCACAGTAAGAGACTAACAATAATAATAAAATTAAAATAATATAAAAATATACTATAATAAAAGTTATGTGAATATGGTTTTTTTCTCTCAGAGTATTTTATTGTACTGTACTCATCTATTTTCAGACCTCAGTTGATCACTGGTAACTGCTACTGCAGAAAACAAAACTGTGGATAAGTAGGGACTATCATATTTATCAGTAAATACAGCAGTAAAGAGAGACCACAATGACAGTTGAGCTAAAGAAAGCTAATTTAAAAAAATTATTTTAAGAGACAGGGCTTGCTATATTGCCCAAGCTAGTCTCAAACTCCTGGGCTCAAGCAATCCTCTCGCCTCAGCTTACACAAGTGCTGGGATTATAGGCATGAGCTACCTCGCCTGGCCTCTTCTTATTATCAGTCATATTTGTTTGATTTGGTTTTAGTTTTGGTTTCCTGGGGACCTCTCAGACACAGATTAATGAATTATCTTTGCATTGTATGCCTCCTCTAATCGTAAGAAGGACTTGCATTATGCTTTTAGAAAAGGCTGCTGGATATTACTACATTCTCAAAATAATAGTAGAAGCTTCTTGCTACCTGAAAAAGATGTTAGAATAAGCAGAAGATGTGAGATGTATGTCCCAACCTTTGTAAATACATTTACGGGATTTTAAAACGGGAAGGAGGCAAGGGAGTGGCACAAGGGCATTTTTCAGTGAAGGCTACCAAATTAGAAAATGAATCACACCCTCAAATACAAAAACTGAGTTCCTTATACATCCTGAGTGTTTCTGCCTTAAATTACAAAGTGACTTTCTATCCTCTTATACTTCCCCTTAATTTATTTGTTTCTGTATTTTCATTTCTATATTTTTAGAGACAGTGTCTTGCTCTGTCGCCCAGATTGGAATGCAGTGGTGCATTCATGGCTCACTGCTGTCTTGAACTCTTGTGCTCAAGGGATCCTCCCACTTCAGCCTCTCGAGTATGTGGGACTACAGAGCGTGCCACCATACATGGCTAATTTTACTTATTTTTTAGAGATGGGGTCTCACCATATTGCCCAGGCTAATTTATTTTTTATAATAGTTAATTAACATTTATTATGTATTCTCATGAGTTTGTTTCTGCCAGCACTAAGAACAGACTGTGAATATAGTAATAACACAAACAGATAATAAGAAGGCCTTAAAGTATGGGTTAGAAGGCCTAGGATTTAATTCCAGTTCTACCATTTGTTGTTTATCCTTGACTAACTTACTTAAGCTTTTCTCACCTGTAATAATTCTCAAAAACTTGTCTAGTAATGCATTTTAAAGTAGTTTTTGAACTTTGAAACTCTAGTGGAATGTAAGGTAGTAGCATTATTATTCCACTGTTAATATTAAATGAGTTGCAAAAATCCTGTAAGGCTTCTGCCTGGACCGTCGAGGAAACTTGATGTGAAGCCAAGATACTAGACATAAGTGGAGCTAGTTCAAGAGATAGGAATGGACTAGATACAAAGGGACAAGTTCAAGAGATAGGAATGGACTAGAAAGTGGGGCAATTGCAAGAGACTTGGATCAAGGCTTCATTCATTCTTCAGAAATTATTGCATGTCTCAATTTCTTGAAATATAAAGTGACAGTGTTGTTGTGAGTATTAAATCAGACAATATAAGCAATGTGTATAGTGTAGTGCACAAAATCCAGGGATCACTTAGTAAGAGATAGCATTAGAATACCTCCACCATTTAATAGCTGTGCAAACTTTCTACCAATCACTTACTCTAAGTTTGTTTCCTCATCTTAAAAACAGAATAATAATTGCCATCTCACTGGAGTTTTGTAAGGACCATGTAAATTTTAGCACTTAGCACAACACTTGGTATATACAGTATTTATTAAATGATAGCTGCTATTTAGTGACAGACCCAATAGCGGTTAGCATAGCTGCAGCTACAGCAGCAAAGTGTTAGCTTTGTACCTGACACTGGGCTAGCTCTAGAGAAGACCGCAAATTACTTAATATGGTTGGGATGTAGAAAGAAGAATCTGAAGTAGTGAGTAGAGCCTTACCAGTGTGGTGTCATAAGCATATTTAAAGAGTTTGAATTTTTATCTTGAAGGCAATAATGAGCCATTAGAAAATCAAAAGACAACATAATTGGAGCTGTGCTTTTAGAAAGATCCCTCTCACTAAAGTTTAGAGAGTGAATTGGAGTGAGGCAAGAACAAGAAACAGCAGACCTGCTAGAAAACCACAACAAAATTTTCTGTGAGAAATGAGATTTGTCTGACATAAAGCTAACAGCAGTGGAGATGGAGAGAAATTGACAGATGTGAGAGAGATTTAGGAGTTGGTTTAACAAGACCTAGTGATTGATTGTATGACTAGAGAGAGGAAGTAGCAGGATATAAGGATATTGATTGGCTATGAAAAGGATCAACAGAGATCAGGAGTTTCTCTCTTGATCTTAACTCTCTAGCTAGCCTAATCTGAAACCATATTGGAAAAAAGACTATTATCTTCCTTCAAAATGCATCTTAATGAAACCTTTTCTAAGTTGGAGACAATGCATTCTGCTATACTCATTATGATAAAGAGTTTGCATGGGATCCTTGATTTTTGCCTGGAAAAAAAGTTACTATTTTTCTCTCTCTTTCTGTGGCATATACCAGGCTCAAAGATTGTCCCTAACGAAACCACTCAGGGTGTGCACAGTGTTCACCTAGACATCTCCATCCCACAGCTAATGCATTTCTATTTACCTAATGGTAAATCAAAGCCATCATCTTTCCACATAAAGAACATCATGTATATATTCAGCTAGATCCTGGGAGCTGGTGTTTGTATGTACTTGTGTGCAAAGATGAAACAGAAATGGATTGATTTTAAGGTGCTTATAGTCTGGTAGAGATGAGAAAACAGTAAATAAATAATTATAAAACAGTCTGATGGTGTTGGGATGCTAGAATTTATGTATTCTAATTCACTTCTATGATACTTTTAACATGAACCTTGTGTTTACATGTCTGTCTCCTAAATAAGGCTATGAGCTCCTTGAAGATAGAGACTGTTTCATTCATTCTTATATCTCCCTAGTCCAGTATAGTTCTATAGGAGATCTGGAAAGGTTTTTTTGAATGAAAGGTACATGCATGGTGTTTCCAAATATTGTGGGTAAGGCCCTCACTTGACTGAAAGGGAGTACAGATTTTAAGGAAGGGTCCAGACATAAAAGGGAGAAAGCAGAAGGACATCAGTCAGATGTTTTGTTAGATAGGTGACCTTTCTAGAAACACCAGAGATGATGTACACAATATTTGTGACATAGGAAGAAGCACAAAATTCTTCATTTCTCAGTACAAAGAATAGATAGTTCCAGTTCTAAAGAAAAAATTTATTAGGTTAACTGATGGACAGGGAAAAGTCCAGAGATTTTCTGTTTAATAAACATTCACCTGTGACCAAGTATTCTTAGCTATCACACTATAAGAATAGTTTATCTAAATCAACCCCTAACTTGCTTCACAGAGACATGTTCTTGTGGTCTACTAATAACATAAAAATTATTTTTAGAAGAATACACCCAGCAAGTAGGAAACCAAGAATTTCACATTCCAAAACTTAGCAGAATCTTATCACAGCTGAATGAAGCCAAGGATAGGGAGGAAGAGAGGAATAAACCTATCCCCAATAAAGGAAGAAATAAGTTAACCAAGAAAAGCAAATGTTGAATTTAGCTCTTCAAAGATTTTAGGGAAAAGATAAAACTACTTCTGCTTTCAAATGTTTAAGAAATTTTACACGTGAAGACTTTACCTGGAACTTGGTGTATGCATTTTGTATACTCAAATGCACATTTACTTCAAGAAAGACTTTCCTTAAATGTTCCCGTCATTAGACTGTCATGATTCGTTTGTTTTATTTCCAGTGTACTCCAAAATGTGGACCAGGATTCAAGCATCGGATTGTTCTGTGCAAGAGCAGTGACCTTTCTAAGACATTCCCTGCTGCACAGTGTCCAGAGGAAAGCAAACCTCCCGTTCGCATCCGCTGCAGTTTGGGCCGCTGCCCTCCCCCTCGCTGGGTAACAGGAGACTGGGGCCAGGTAAGGCATTGATTTGTAATGCCGGTTCCTGCTGAAATAACACCCTGAGATGCAAACCTGAGGCTCCTGAATTGGTCACTGTAAAGGCTTGAGAGATGAGTAAAACACATAGAAATCTAGTTATGAGATATGTAAAACGATGCAGAAACCACAACCACACATGGACACAGCACATTTAGCCCCTGTTTCTCCTATACCTAAGTACTTCTCACTTTTACCTACTTTTTTGATTCTACCATTTTAAGTTACATTTAAAAGAGAAATAAGTAGTCTAGATGGTGAGAGATTTGAACAAGCTACCAATAGTTCAGATTCTAGTCCCAGCTCTTTTTATATTAGACTCATTTCTATCTTATGTCCCATATCCTATTTTTCTTTCTTTTTTTTCTATTTTTTATTTTTAAATTGCATTATCTTGCTGTAGGCCACATTAAATCTTATAAAAACATGTTGATTCTCATCACAGAAATGATAACAATGTAAAACAATGCATATACTAATTAGTTAGGTTTATTCATTCCACAATGTATATATGCTTCAAAATATTTGTACATGAGAAATAGATATAATTTTATCTGCCAATTTAAAAATAAATTTAAAATAAAAACAATTTGGCATATTTGGATAGAAGGAAGATTAAGTATTGTTCTAAATGTCAAGGAATAAATCTATTAGGTTAAATTTAAAAAACAATGCCCCGGAAAGTAAATTTCTAGCCAATCAATGCCCTTATCTTAGTTTCCATAATGGGCCTTGTAGCTAGTCATTTTCTAATATTTGAGATCCAAATAAATCATAATGACATATAACTATACCAGAATGATTGTGGTCTTCACCTGCCATTACTTATTAAAAATGTCATTTCATAGGAGTAGTTACCAAAATTCTGGAGAAAATTCAATATTGATAGAGTACAGCAGTATTTCTAAAACTCTTGTTTCATTTGATGAAAGGCAAAGATTTTTAGTACCCATTAAGGTAAATAAATAGACTTGCTCTGTATTCAGCCCTGTGAGGAGACAAAAGAAATGTGATTATAAAATAAGTAATGCTTTGCATCTCCTTAGCGGTATTTAGTTTAATTTGCAAAAGCTCATGTGGAATACACATGATACGGTATGCAATTAAGAGTCACTGTAGAAGTGTGAAATTTTCATATTACATAATTTATATTATACTATTAGAGAATCAGTGCAGACATGCTCTCATGATTTTTAAATGAGACAAGGATTTCTTTATATATTCTTCATTGCAATGTACTGCTATGTAAATGTCAGTTGAAAGTTTCTATATTTTAATGATATCACTTAATTTACAATTGTCAATTTGAAATTATTATTTTAAATGCTGTGAAGTCCTTTTTTTTCATTTTCAACCTGGTTTTCTAAAATTCAGAATAACCCGTGGAAATACATTTTCAAAGGTGCTTTAATATATTTTTATAGTGCATTTATTTGTCATTCTATATTAAAAGGGTTTTTTTTAACTGTCTTCATGAATATCCTTTGGGTGCTCTGAAAGTTTTTGCAAACAAATTCAAAAGGGCTTCAATTTGTTTACCTTGTAAATATCACTATCCCCTGTGTTGGTACCAGTTAGCTTTTCATACCTTTGATCTCAAGTCTCACAGGCTTTCTGGTATTCTGGATGGCAGGCGAAAAGAATAGACTCAGCCTTATTCTTCAGACTGGACAGCTGATCTGTACCAGCTGAAACTATACCTCTCAGAGATTAACTTCAGCCCTAAAGTGACTGAATCCCTGAATAGATGAAAAAGGAGAGGGAGACATGCTAATTGGCTAACAGCAGACCACTTCTCAGGTTTGCATGGGTGACAACACCTTAGAAAACTCAAGGTACTTATTTAAGCTCTTTTTTAAAAAAATCAGATTCTATCACCAAGCCCTACGGCCATCACTACTATTACACTAAATTAATAATCTGATCAGATACAGAGCATGCCAATAAAGCCATCAGGTTGTTTACTTGCATGCCTGTAATAAATAGCGAGCAATAGTGATGCCCTAGCCCTAGAATTTCTTAGTATTCTACTTCATCATGAAGATTTTCTCATCACACTTCTGCTAGAGTTCACCAGCCTTTCTTGGAATTGTTGGAGTGATAGTTCAAGAAATCTCCATCTGTTGTCCTCTGGGAGCTATGCTGAGTCTTTTTCTAGAGTGATAACATGATTCTTGAATTTCCAAATCAATTTTATAGTACCATGACCTAATCATAGACTTCTCACAGATGAGCCACATATGGGCTTTAAAAGCAATGTACCTGAAGTGACAGAGTATCTTTTTTACCTCCTGAAAGTTGTTGAGATTAATATTTTGTTTCTCTGTGTCTTTGGATTTAGTGTTCTGCTCAGTGTGGCCTTGGACAGCAAATGCGAACTGTGCAGTGTCTCTCCTACACTGGACAGGCCTCTAGTGACTGTCCAGAAACTGTCCGGCCTCCGTCAATGCAGCAGTGTGAAAGCAAATGTGACAGTACCCCCATTTCCAATACTGAAGGTGAGTTTTCTGTGGAGGGGCCTCTAGTGACTCACATTACTGTTCCTGGGGCTTGAAGAGCCCCATAGCCCACTATTGTAGTGGAGTTTGAACAGAGCATTTGTGAAAACTACATATTTACTGAACTGTAAGGAGGAAATTTTTTCCTGGCTCTTTCACTGACTGTATGACATTGTTAAGTCATTTAACCTTTCTAGGGCTGAGTTATCTATAAAATGAGAAATTGGAGTGGATAATTTCTAGGGTCATGTTAAATCTAGGATTCTATGCTTGATTGGTACTAGAGATAATTTCTAATGAACCACTCTTAAAGTGAACACTTCTGTTTCTTTTTGGATATGAGAGTGAATGTCTATCATCCTGCAGATAAATTTCATGTTTGTTATACATATAATGAAGTCATATGCTTGAAAGTACTGATGGTTTTTTTTTGTTTTGGTTGTTTTGGCTTGGTTTGGTTTGAGTAGGAGTCATTCTGTCACCCAGGCTGGAGTGCAGTGGCACACTTACAGCCACCCCAGCGTCGACCTGCTGGGCTCTGGCAATTCTTCCGCCTCAGTCGTCCAAGTAGCCAGAACTACAAGCGTGTGCTACCATGCCCAAGTAATATTTTATTTATTGTAGAGACAAGGGCTCACCAAGTTGCCCAGGCTGGTCTTGAACCCATGGGCTCAGGCAATCCACTCGCCTCGGCCTCTCAAAGTGCTGAGATTACAGGCTGAGCCACCAAGCCCGGCCACTACTGGTGTTTTACATACTAAGTTTCTTATTGTAGAAAAGTAGACAAATAATTTTTTTATATTATTTTCTGTTGATAAAGGAGGACAAAGGTCTTAGTGCTCTGAAATGTATTTCTTTTTCTTACATATCGAAAAATCCCTTTATTAACAGCAGATACTATCCAAAATCCTGACTTTCTCATGTCTTACTTAAATAAAAGTACTTTCTTTATTCATTTAGGCATTCATTAGAAATTTCTTGAATGCTACTATGTGCAAAGCATGATGACAGAAATTATCAAAAATGTGGCATAGTCAGAAAGTTTAAACTGCCTTCACATATGAAAACAGAGACAAAGCCGGGCACAGTGGCTCAAGCCTGTAATCCCAGCACTTTGGGAGGCCGAGGCGAAAGGATTGCATGAGTTCAAGATTTCGAGACCAGCCTGAGCAGCTTGGTGAGTAGTCGCGCTGCTTGGAAGGCTGAGGTGGAAGGATTGCCTGAGCCCAGCAGATCGAGGCTGCAGTGGCCGTGAGCATGCCATTGCACTCCAGCCTGGGCAAGAGTGAGACTTCGACTCAAAAAAAAACAATACTCATGTATCTGAGACATGGTCAAATACATGCACAAGAACGTCTGAAGCCACAAATTTAAATTATATGAGAAATCCAGCTACAAGGCCCTGCTCCAAAACATCATAAATATATAATCTAATAATTTGTTACTATTTTTCAAGAGAAAACTATATGTTTATAAACTCATTCAAGGGAAATCTATTCCTTTTGATCACTTCTATCCCATTCAAAGGATTGTTTTTAAAATTATATTCACTATTTTAAAATGTTTCTTTAGGAATTCTGTTTTAGGAAGAGTGATCATCTAAACAAGATCTAGATAGCTTGCATCTTTGCAAATAGTTCATTTTTTATATCTGCACCTTAGCACGATATACTTATTGCACATGTAATTTACTCTTTCAAAGAAGCCTTATCCAACATCAATTCAAAACCATGATTTTAATTTGCAAAATCTCTGGCTCTAATGCCATCTATTTCTTTTTCTGAACCTTTCATAAGGGACATTCTGGAAATCTAGCTTTCCCTCTCTTCATAAGGGCTCTAAATCCATGACAAACAGAGGTCTTTTTCCTGGAAAAACTATTTTTTAAATGATCTGGGGTGGGGGTTATCTCTCTTCTATACGACTATAGCTAACAAATGTTTTAATCCATTGTAAATTATTAGCAATCAGTCACATGAGATTGGGGGTCTATTTTTCTTTCATAATTGGAAGATACACCATTAAGGTGGGAGAAGGAATATTACAATCATATTAAACTATGCTATGCTGGGTATTATGTTAGGCCCTTTTTATGTATTATCTATCTTATATATCTCACATATATAAATACATCTCTCTCTGTAAGTATGTGTGTGTGTGTGTGTGTCTTATATAATCCTGACAACAATCTTCTGAGAGTTGGTATTACTAATGGAGAAAAGTAAGGCACAGAGAGGGATAGTGACAAGCCCAAATGGAAAGACAAGGAAGTAGTAGAATCAGGATCTGAATCCAGATTTGGTAGAGCTGAGGTGCCTGTCAATTTCAACTGCATTTACATACTATTCTTTTTTTTTTTTTTAAGTTGGAGTCTCACTCTGTTGCCCAGGCTAGAGTGCAGTGGCATGCTCCTGGCTACCGCAGCCTAGACTTGCTGGGATCCTTCCACATCAGCCTTCCAAGTAGCCAGAACTACAGGAGGGTGCTACCACGCCCAGCTAGTTTTTTGATTTATTGTAGAGACAAGGTCTCACCATGGTTGCCCAGGTGGTCTCTAGCCTGCAGTCTCAGGCAATCCTCTCGCCTCGGTCTCCCAAAGTGCTGGGATTATAGGCTTGAGTCACTGTGCCCAGCCTACATGCTATCCTTAATTCACTCTTTAAAGTAGGGTATTTTGTCATGAAAACAGAATTTCTGACCATGAAGTAGAGATACTTCTGACATGGCTGTCAGCCTAATTCAATAAATTAAGCATTGTCATAAATACTGAAAGAACTGGCTTTGGATATGCCTAACACAATATATACATTGAGGTTAAATGTATAGCTTCATTTTAGGCAATTTTGGTAATTAATTTGTCCAAAAACTTCTCTATAGTGGTTAATTATTATACTTAAGCTTTGCAACTCGAGATGCAATACTATTTTCAGAGTGGGCAGAATATCATTTGCAACTACACCTATTTATGCCTCAAAAAAATTCTCTTAAAATGGATGGTATCAATCTGAGGTTCCTTGGATTATTTGGAGAAACATCTCAAGGTCACTTCATCTACCTGGATAAATCATTTTTTATTAACATTAATATAAAGTAAGCAGTGAAGACAGTATTGTTAGACTTCTCAGCAAAGGAAGAAACTTTTAGGAAATTATTAATCCTGCAAAGTACAACTAATGCTAGAATAGTTATTACCTAAAACTGTTAACTCATTAAAAAGAAAGAAGTTCACTCTCTTTTACAAAATTAGATTTAAAGTACAAATAATATGTCTGTCATAACTTGTTTTGTGTTCTCTTTAATTTCCCAATAGCATTTATGGAGTGCATTTAAATATCTGAAACTGTCTGTTCATTTAATCAACAGCCCTTGCCACAGAAAATTCAAATACATTTATCAGTTCATAGTCTTTCAGGGCAAACACTTAAAAAATTTTAATTAAAAAATTTTTAAGAAGAGGAGGTGGAATGTGTTTCATGGAGTAGTTTACACAAGTGCTAAGGGAGCACCAGTGAAGGACCAATGACTTTAACGTTCTGGATCAACTAAGTGATCTATCAACCAGGTATAACATGTAGTTGGAAAAACCCAGTGTGTACCTTGGGAAAAGTGAATAAAACATTTGAGCTGAATTATAAGTTTTCATCTATAGAGATATGCAATGGACAGATAACATAGATTTTTTTTTTTTTTGAGTTGGAGTTTCACTCTGCCACCCAGGCTGGAGTGTAATGACACATTTACGGCCACCGCAGCCTCCACCTGCTGGGCCCAGGCGATCCTTCCGCTTCAGCCTTCCAAGTAGCTGGAACTATAGGTGCGCACCACCACACCCGGCCAATTTTTTGATGTATTGAAGAGACAAAGTCTTGCCAAGTTGCCCAGGCTGGTCTCAAACCCCTGGTCTCAGGCAATCCTCTCACCTCAGCCTCCCAAAGTACTGGTCTTACAGGCTTGAGCCACCACACCTGGCCAATAACATGGATTTCAAAAGAGAAGAGACTCTCATGTGAAAATAATGCAAGAGTAGGCTGATAAGGCATATGGGAATCAGACCAGGAAGCAAAGAAATGCTTCTTAATAAGGGAAAGTCAGTAGGAAAGTTGGGGAAGGAATAGTTTCTGGTTAATGCAGGAGAGTAGAAGAGGACCTCTATACCCCTGCAGAATCAGGTTCATATGACTCTTAGTTGAAGGCCCCTGAGAGACCAGTTCAGCTCTACCCCAAGACAGGATTAGGAAGGATCTCTTGGTATATAAAATATAGTCTTCCCATTGAATCTCTATGGATGAAATGGACTACAGTTCAAATCTTGAGAACTGTTTTAACTACCAAGGTTTAGGTAATAGTCTCCCTCCCCATGATGTTTTGTTACTAAAATAATAAAAAGTTTCAAACATACAGTAAAGTTGAAAGAATTTTACTAAGAACACCTACTATCTTGATTCTAGTATTAACATTTTCCTGAACTTGTTTCATCACACACGGGTGTTGTGTGTGTGTGTGTGTGTGTGTGTGTGTGTGTGTGTGTGTGTGTGTGTGGTATCCACCTGTCCATTCCTCAAAGTCACGGTTTCTATTTTTATTTTTTTAAGGTTATGGTCTTTAAATAACATGTCCCATTTGTCAAATCATTAATTCATTTACTCAGCAAACATACTTACTATGTGTCAGACACCGAGACTATGAAAGGAATACAAGATCCCATCCTCAAAGGGAGCACAGTTTAGTGGGGCAGCAGCCTGCACACAAATCCTTTTCACGATATGAGCAGTACCACAACAGGGGTAGAAAGAAGCTATCATGAGTGGACAGAGGAGAGAGTAAACAGCGGGAGCTTTGCAGAGAAGGCAAGCTTGAGCTGGGCGTGGAAGGTACAAAACGTTTTACCAAGAAGGCATTGAGATGCAGGGCATGTCTAGCAGAGGACAGGTGTATGCAAGTCACAGGGGCCCAGAGGCCGTTCGCTGTGGCTGCAGTGGATTGGCAGACGAGCACCATGG